CACACAAGGGATCATTGGGGGGGGGAAAAGGGACATCTATAATATTTTCAACAATAAAGACAAATTTTTAGAAAATGATGGGCAACTCCTTGGTTTAAATAGAACTTAAAGATTGAGCTCCTTAAAGAATGCAAATTCTACAACTAGACTTTCAGTTTCTATAGACATAATTGCCTCAATACTATAAGAAGGAAGTAGTGGTGAGGCTTTTTACTGGTTTCAAATAACTGTAAATCTCAAAATAACCCACAAATATCTGCAACAAATTTCTCTTCAAGGTGACCTCTATTTCTTCCAAACTAAAATAATGCCCAACTCCCCAACTACTTTCCCTACATACTGCCTCACACACACAAAAAGATTAAATTCTATTTGGTAGTCCGATCCTGAATTACTTAATTCTGAAGTACATAGAATCTTTGTAAAACAGTAAAGCCTGGAAACTAGAAATTAAAATTCAAGGAGACTAAATTTCAGGATCTAATTCACGCTATCAGTGAACTTCACCTAAACATTAATTAGTAACATGTAGTTTGTTAATTACAGATCGTATACTGATATAACCATGGCTAACTGAATGTGTGGTTTAATGTAAACATTAGGCAGCAAAAAATGTTATATGTGATGATGCCATTAAAACAAAACTTAAGCTCACTGATAACCAGTAAAAATTTTTAGTAGAATAAATCACAAATAAAATGACTGAGGTTCAGTGAAAAAAATATTTTATCTCAAAATTAACTGTACTTTCAATTTGATTTTAGCTTGTGAACTGAAAATGTTCCCTTTTACAAAAAAAGCAAATAATTAAACGATCATTATAGAATTTGTCATCTATGTCAACAGGTTTTTTAAAATTCCAAAATATATTATCTATATCTGCTAAATATCATCTCAACTTTATTATCAGTACTGTTCTATAGACCTAATTCAATGTTTATTCAATGCATAAGTATTTAACCTTACTTTGAAATTCAATTCTCAATAGAATATAATGATCCTAGGGCCTTTGCTTTCCATTTATTAAAAATATGAACTTCCAGCCTGGCCAGTGTTGCTCGATGGTTGGGCAGCTACCTATAAACCAGATCTCTGTTTGATTCAGGTCAGGGCACAGGTCCAGGATGCTGGCTTGTTCCCCAGTAGGAGGCGTGCAGGAGACAACCAATCAATTCTCCCTCAACATTGATGTTTCTCTCTGAAATCAAACATTTTTTAATATGAATTTCCAAAACAAAATCACAGAATCCGAAGATAGAGGAAATCACTTTCGCTGTCACTTTCACTTTTTAATATAGTATTTTTAATTATAATAATTTTAAAAATATTTTTGAAGTGCCGTGACTTTGTATAGATGACTTTGTAAAACTGTACATAGGTACGTAATTTTTAACAAGATACTACCAAACTGCCCTCCTAAATAGCTGAACTAATTAATTTATACTTCTACCAGCAACATAAGAGTTCCCATAATCTTTGCATCACTTGATTTAACTTAACAAGTCTGCCAATCTGATAGAGTAAAAATGATCTCACTGGTATTTTAATGGAATACTTTCAAAGTTATACCCTGTCTGAATTACCTATTTTCTAAAGAGAATACTTGTGATATTTTCCCAGCCTGGTCCTTCTGTTATATCTCTTTTCCTTTCTAACTAAAAAATAAATTGCTCAACAAAAAGTAACTTAAAATGCCCTGTTCTCACTTGCAAATCCTTCTCAAGGACCTAGAATATACACACTTCTAGGCTTCATAGAAACGAAGCATGGCACGCTTGACAAAGAAACACTGTGATAAAAATGACCACATTGGACAAGCATTGGTATAAAGGTTAATGAAGAATCTTTAATACAATAGCATGCTCTGTGACTTTTAACACTCATTCCAGTCCATATTGGTTTTCTGAAAGGACAGTGACTTTTTGAAATTAAAAGTCTATAATTATTCTCGAAACAGTATGCAAAATAGGTTGAAATGAGACAAAAGAATGGATGCGAGGGTACAGATTTTCAATTTGAAGTCGTCGGCTCTGTGGAGGTAAATGTGAGAGAACAGCTTGGAGGAGAGATGGTATTGCCTACACGAAGATGATGTGTCAAAGCTGAGAAAAGGGTATGTTTTTGAGAAGATAGACAAACAGCAAAGCAGCCAAGGCCCCAGGCTCAGGGCTTACCCAGTGAGCAAACCCAGAGAGGCAGGAAAGCAGACAACTACTTAAAAAAACGAGAGCCAAGCCGAAACCGGTTTGGCTCAGTGGTAGAGCGTCAGTCTGCGGACTGAAGGGTCCCAGGTTCGATTCCGGTCAAGGGCATGTATGTTGGTTGCGGGCACATCCCCGGTAGGGGGTGTGCAAGAGGCAGCTGGTCAATGTTTCTCTCTCATCGACGTTTCTAGCTCTCTATCTCTCTCCCTTCCTCCTCTCTGTAAAATATCAATAAAATATATTTAAAACAAAAACAAAAAACAAGAGCCAAGTAAAGTAGTTTTCAAAATAAGAGAATGACAGTAACAAAATTAAATAAGAGCACTACTTGGAAAACGGAGCAAAGATCATTCCATTTTCCATGAGATATTTAATAGTCCTAAAATTCAAAGGCCAATGTCCTTGTCAAGTTGTACAATGAACAAGCAATTTCATTCTGTTGAATAAACAGTTATGTTGTATACAACACATGCCAAACACTGTTCTAAGGAAGCCCTTTACAAAACGTTAACTCGCTTTTCACTTGGCTATTTCTTTTAATAACCCTCCATAAAACCTGGCAGTCCTGAGTGAGGACTGGCATTCCAGGTGGTTTGCGGCTGGAGGGATAACCTATGCTTTGGAAGCTGAGCACCAGAAAGGATAACAAAATCAACGGAAGGCCTCCCAGAATAAGGCAAAGGGAAAGGAGGAAAGCTACAATTGGAAACCAGAACATTCAGAAAATGGGATCTTTTAACTAGATAAAAAAAAATGTTTTCCACAATCTCAAGCCAGTGCTCTTCACTTTATATGTAAACTGGAGACAGCTGGCATTCACTCTGGAAATCCTTGATTGGAAAACTCTCAGGATCACATATAGGCATACCTTACTTTATTGCATTTAGCTTTATTGCACTAGGTATTGAGGTGGTGTTGTTTTTGTTTTGTTTTTACAAACTGAAGGCAAGAAAAGATTAGAACTTGCTTGTTAGTGCAACATTTGCTTTATTACAGTGGTCTGCAAGGTATGCCTGTAACTATAGTACCTGAACCAGTCTAGCCTATTTCTCCAAACTTTTGAGGTAAACAAGACTCTTACTGATCAAACTCCAGGGCATCTGAGCAAATAATCTTGATGGATCCCTAGCCCAGGCGGATTTTCTCTGAGGTCTGGGGAGACTACGAGGACATTTGCGGAGGGGTTGTCAGTAGGTATTAGTCAAAATAGGGTTTCTGTCATTGCCAGGGTTTCAAAGTTAATGAAGACACAAGCTCCTTGAAAACGTATACTAAAGCCACTGAAGAGATAAGACTGGAAGGGATTTTCAATAGAAAGCTGGTCCCATTTATAGCCTTGAAGGACAACTTTTAAATGCCAGTAATTGCATTTTGCAATTCTGTGACTTTGAGTACAGTTATTTAAAGTAGTTACACGTCTGGTAAACCAGATGATAAAGTTATCAGATGAGATTAAGCATACCTATTCTAGTCCCTAAAAAAACACACACACAAACTAAGAGGTGGAAATTTAACAAAAGTCTAGCTTTTTAGATCTTGAAGGGATGTGAGTCATCTAACTGAAGGTATTAAATGATGTACCCAAGGTCCTAAGGCTACTCTGTAGCACGTCATCATCATGAAATACCAGACTTTGCCCATCATCAAGTGATTTAAAAAAAAATAAATAAATAACATTTTTCTTCCAGTCTGGGAAAACAACTTTAGCTTGGAATGTTTTAAGAAGGTGCCTGCTTCCATTACAGGAAACATTAAGCTGACCTGAGATGGAAAGGATTAAGAATCACACTTTCAGTTTGACTTAGTATGGGGCTGGAGATAATGTCAGTAGAGTATTAGAAAAATAGCAGGGCATGAAGAAAACAGGTAGATGTGTCACCACACGGGGAAAACACGGGTTGTGTCCACTTCTGTTACACAGGACAAAATACCCAGGAACTGCTTCCCAAACAGGGGAAGGAAAACCAGGTTTATTTGAAGACTAAATGGCTGTGCGGTATAGATGAGCTCACATCCTATCACCGTTTTAATTTTTCAGTTAGCGTTTTACCGGCCACATGTCGTCTTCCTTACTCTAACCTAAATTAAAAAAACAAACAAACAAACGAACAAAAACCCTCGCCCATCTCATGCAGCACATCCCGCAGGCCAACGCCGGTGGTCCCCAGGGCGAACAGGTGGTCCGGACCGCGAGCCCCGGGCTCCTGGGCCACGTGACCCTCTTGCCCCTAATCTCCTTTCGGAAACCTTATTTCCGGCGCCCCAGATGGCTCCACGCAGACCTGAATGTTTCCACTCTGGAAACAGCGAGAATGCTCGGCCACCTTAGGTTTCCAGAGAGATGGAGGCAGCGATGGGAGGAGGGCAGGCGGAGGACACTGGAGCCTGGAAAAGCGACGAGTCCGGGAGGAGCTGGGCTTCGTCCCACGCCCGGCCCCTGAATGTCAGCCGGCGGGGATGTCGGGGCATCAATCGCGAAGCCTGGGCGGGAGCCCGGGTGCTGCAGCCCCAGCGGGGGCCGCGGGGCGCGGACACGCAGCGCCAGGCCATGCCCCCGGCCCCTCGGCGGCTCCCCGAGGGCGGGCAGGCGGCCTGCCGGCGCCCGGCCGGGAAGGGAAGTGGGGGCCCGCGAAGGGGCGCGGGCGGCGGCGGCTGGGGCGCGGCCGGGCCTAATCACATGGCGCAGACGGCGCAGGCCGCCCGGCATCTTTCTTTCTCTTCCGCCGGCCTCCGCGCCCATCCCGCCCCGCAGCCGGCCGCGCCCGGCCGCGGGCCCCGCCTCGCGGAGACACTCACCTCTCGCCGGAGGCCGCCAGCTCCTTGGCCTCGCCGTGGCCGAACGCGTCCGTGTCCGCGGGGCCGTCCTTGGGGCCGGGCGCCGGCGGGGCGGCGGGCGGCGACGCCCCGGGCTGCGGGTCCTGCGGCTGCGGGTCTTGCGGCTGCTGCGCGCCCGCCTTGCCCAGCTCCCGCAGGATCTCGGAGGGCGAGCTGGACAGGCCCCGGGCGCCGGGCCCCGCCGGCCGGCCGCCCCCGCCCCACCGCGGGCAGAGCCGCGCAGCGGCAGCGGGGCCCGCGGCCACGGGCCCCCCACCCCAGGCTCGCCGGTGGAACGTGGCGAGGGGCTGCGCCCGCCTCAGGGCCGCGCTGGCGGCGGCGGCGGGCGGCCTCAGGAGGTCCCGCAGCAGCGCCGACCCTCGGAGCCGCATCATGCCGCCCGCTCAGCCCGCGCCGGTTCGACGGGGAAAGATGCTCGGGGCGTGGGCGGCCGCTCTTCTCCCGGGACCGTCCTCCCGCGGGGCGGCGAGAGGACAAGTGAGGACAGGGCCCGCGACGTGGGCGTGGGTGGGGTTGGCGCTCCGCAGCCGCCGCCTCCGAGACCGACTCGGCCGCCTCCGGCTCCGCTGCTGCTGCTCCCACCGGCGAGGGCTGCGCACTGAGGCTGAAGTGCAGGCGGGGGCCGGGGACATAGCGCGCTCCCTCCCCGGGGGCGGGACCTTGCCGAGGGCACGCCCACTTTATCAGCTTCTATTGGTTAAAAATTCCAGACCTCTCTTCTGATTGGGAGCTGGAGCCGTCAAACTCCCCTCAGCGTTCGGTGCGCACACTGGCGGCGGCGGAGCGGCCGGAGGCGGGGAGAGGAGCGGAATGGAGGCTTGAGGCTGGGAGCCCGGCCGGCCTCGGAGCCACCCCCGCCCTCTCGCTGTGCGCACCCCGAGGCTGCTCTGCTGTGGAGCCGAGAGCCCGAGAGTCCTCATGGAGGAGACTCCTGGGCTCGGAGACCGGGTGGGCGCGAGGGGCCGGTAGCCGGCGGGCCGGGCCTGCGGCGGGACCCGGCGACGGGTAAGGGCGTGCGGCGACTCTCCGAGGGCCGCGGCCCCGCGAAGGCAGCCCCCCGACGAGCCAGGTCCCTCTCCCAAATGTGGCATTTGCTGGAAGTTTCCACGGCTGGCGACTCCCCAGCTGGGAAGTGTTTTGGAAAAAATGAGCCAAATCCTCTGTTCTGCGACGAGGCCGGTCGGCCCCGGGCGGACGGCGAGGGGGGCCGCCCCTGAAGGCGGCTGCCGCCCTGGTCCAATTGACTTTATTTATTTTTTTAAAGAATGTACACCGGTATCTCCAAAAAGTATTTCTGAACAGCAGCGACCTCCTTGACACTCGCTGGCTTGAGAGAATGACGCTTTTCTGTTTTAAAAGCCGCTTCGTCCCTTTCGAATAGAAGCCTCCGGGTTCTGGTTCCCTCCGTGGGCTCAGCCGGGTCCCACCGGGTCCGTCCGTCCTGTTGGACCTGCAGCAGAACAGCCCGGGATCCGGAGCTCTGAGGGCCTCACGGAGCCTATACATCCCCTCTGCTCAACCATCTAAAACATATATTTTTAGACTTTTTTTTTTAAGATGAATTTTTTAAAATACATTTTTATTGATTTCAGAGAGGAAGGGAGAGGGACAGAGAGAAACCTCAACGATGAGAGAGAATTCCTGGATCGGCTGCCTCCTGCATGATCCCTCTTGGGGACCGAGCCCACAACTCTGGCCTGTGCCCTTGACCCTTCAGTCCGGAAGCCCGTGCGCTATCCACTGAGCAACACCAGCGAGGGCCAGAGATGGTTTCTTTTTTTTCTCTTTTAATATATTTATTGATTTCTTACAGAGAGGAAGGGAGAAGGATAGAGAGTTAGAAACATCAATGAGAGAGAAACATCTATCAGCTGCCTCCTGCACACCTGCTACTGGGTATGTGCCCGCAACCAAGGTACATGCCTTTTACCGGAATCAAACCTGGGACCATTGAGTCCTCAGGCTGAGGCTCTATCCACTGAGTCACACCAGCCAGGGCCAGAGATGATTTCTTGAAACAAGCAGGTTTAAATGCATAGATCCCCAAATGTTAATGAGATGATTTTTATGAAACCGGAAGGGTGTGTGTCAGGCGAATCATGAACTAATCACCAGGTTTACCATAGAAAGCTAATGAATCTTATAATATTGCACCAGATTAATAATTAGGAAATCTGGCTGTCCCTACAGGATGTGTGACCCATGGCATGTCCCAGTCTTGCCATGTTTAAGTTCTTTCTGTCTGCTCTTTTTTTGTTGCTGTGGTTAATCCTCATATATTTTAATTGATTTCAGAGAGGAAGAGAGACGTAGAAGCATCAATAGTGAGAGAGAATCATTGATCTTCTGCCTCCTGCATGTCCCACCCTGAGGATGGAGCCTGTAACCTGGGTATGTTCCCTGATGGGAACCGGCCTGTATCCTCCTGGTTCATAGGTCAATGCTTAGCCTCAGAGCCACCCGGCTGGGCCAGGATATTTTTTCCATTGAAAAAACAACAAAAAAAAATTTTTTTTTTTTGAGAGAAAGAGAGAGTGGAAGGGAAGGAGAGAGTCAGTGGGAGAGAAACATCAATGTGGTTTCCTGTAAGCACCCCGACCCGGGCAGGATCAAGTTACCTCACCTCCTTCAGTCTTGGGGCCTGATCTCTAACCACACCTGCTAGGGCTCCACCTGCTCCTTAACCAGAAGAACGTGGAAAAAGCTATTGTGTAAAGCACTTAATCACATTAAAAAAAAAAAAAAGTGAAAATAATTGAAATTTCTTTAAAGGCCTTTTATTGCTACTTCATGTTACCTGTCACTAAAATTTGACAAGAATGGAAATAATAATATACTCATGAAAAGGAACATCAAATTTTGTAAGAAAGATAAATACTTTCTCTGCCTAATCTTTCATGAATGACATAAACCTGAATATTCTTCCATCTTTTAGGTATAACTATTTTTTATCCATTTTGTGGGTACATTAAACCACATTCAGGTTACTGACATATCCAGTTGTTATTTTCCTCCCTGTTCTTTTTTTCTCAGTTTCTCTAATTTTTTTATGAAAATTCTTTCCAATGATTAAAGATTTAAATAACTTTATAGATACTTACACATAAAAAGCAAACCTTGCCAAAACCGGTGTGGCTCAGTGGATAGAGCATCGGTCTGTGGACTGCAAGGTCCCAGGTTCGATTCCAGTCAAGGGCATGTACCTTGGTTGCGGGCACATCCCCTGTGGGAGGTGTGCAGGAGGCGGCTGGTCAATGTTTCTCATCGACGTTTCTGGCTCTCTATCTCTCTCTCTCTTCTTCTCTGTACAAAAATCAATAAAAAATATATTAAAAAAAAAAAAAAAGCAAACCTCATAATAGCTTATTTTCTAGAGTTTCTCCTTTCAAAAATAAACTGGTGAGAATAAACAGACATTACTCCCAACATTTAGAAAACCTTGAGTCTGATGAAATGTAACCCCTCCTTTGAGAATACCAACGAAAAAGTTATGGACAGCAAATTAAAATTACCATAAGTAGAATAAAAATGTGACTCAGTGCTTTCATTTGATTCTTCATCTACAATTTTTTTTTAATCTTTACTAATTGTTTTTTTTAATAAGTACAACTTTGGAACTATGAATTGCAATTAATTACTATTTCCATGAGGTTAATTATTCACCTACTCAATCGTATCATCCCATAAAACAAAAGATAGCCCTATAAAAACATTTGTTACACGTGCAATGGTCTACCATGATATCTACAAATAGAAAGTGGCTCTCCAGATTAGCATGTGGCTGGGTCCTTAGAGCTACTCTCAGACTTCCTCTTTGCTACTAGATTAAGGGCAGCTAACCTGCAACGGGTTGTGGGCTCACAGCCATTGGGAAGGCAAATTGGCCATCCCAGGAGAGGCTGGAATGCACCCACTTTGTTTCTCTCCTAACTAGAAGCACCGTTCCTGAGCTTCCGTGTTCTTTTGAAGATTAAAAAATGGCTAATGTAACCTATATGTAAGTTCCAGATCTTGCCCTTCATGAAAACTAAAAGGCAATTTGTTGACCTAGAACTATAAATAGACAATAATTCTCTTTTGATTAACATCAGAATTGACTGAAGTTTTTTGTTTGTTTGAAATTCTTCTATTTAAAGAAGAGAGTAAGAAGCCTCTAAACAGGCTTCAGCTACTATTTCCCTTTCTTCTGTTAGTTTCCTGCTTGAATTGGCCAACTTCCTAGCCTCACTGATAAATAAACCCTGCCAAAACATGACTTATTTTTCCAAAGCTGAATTTAGATTTGCATTAAAATAAGTGTTATAATTCCCTCTTCTGTAAAATGGGGACAATATTGGTATCTCATCTCATGGGTTCTTATGAAGATGAAATGAATCAACACCTGTAAAGCACTTAGAACAACACCTGTAAAGCACTTATAGCCCTCTGTTAGCTATAAAATGATTATTAAAAGCAATAATAATAGCAATGATAATAATTACTCTCACTATTCTCTAAGTGAATACATTTTGTTGTGCATTGTGATTTGTTGTCAGGTCTATTACTGAAAAGCCAAACTGGAAATTGTTTTAAAACCTCTAATCATGAAATCCCACTTAAAAAGAAACTAGCTTCCCAAGATGAGATTATTTGCTTCATATTTAGAATTTCCAAAGTATCTTGAAATAGAGACTGCTACAAAAGCAGTTAGATTAAGCAAAGCTGGCCCAGGTACCAGCTATTGACAAATAACTTTTTAAAAGTACTAAAGGAAGAAGAATTGCTAGCAAAAATCAACAACAAAAAACTGACCTTAATACATAAGTCATATACCATTAAATCTTTTTTAAAAATGTATTTGCTATCTATATAAATTAAATCTCTGTTCCTTGTGACATTACACAAAAATGGTGAGAGAGATTTTCATCAAATTTGAAGAAACTATTTGAATGTTCTCATTTAAAATACTAACTATGCCCAGCTGACATGGTTCAGTGGTTGAGCGTCGATCTGTGAACCAGGAGGTCACAGTTTGATTCCTGGTCAGGACACATGCCCAGAATGTGGGCTTGATCCCCAGTGTCGGGTGTGCAGGAGGCAGCCCATCAATGATTCTTCTTCTTCTTCTTCTTCCTCTCTTTTTTTTTTTTTTTTTAATATATTGATTTTTTACAGAGAGGAAGGGAGAGAGAGAGAATTAGAAACATTGATGAGAGAGAAACATTTATCAACTGCCTCCTGCACACCCCGCATTGGGGATGTGCCCATAAACAAGATACATGCCCTTGACTGGAATCAAACCTGGGACAGCAGGCCAAGTGCTCTATCCACTGAGCCAAACCGGTTTTGGCTAATGATTCTTTCATCATTGATTTTTCTATCTCTCTCACCTCCC